TTCACTGAGTTACGCAAGCCCCTTCGCCACGACAAGGCAGTGATCCATGAAGGGGTAAATATTCTACTACATTGTTAGTATTTAAATTGTAGGACTTGGAAGAGTACAAAAGAAATTCAGATACAAATTCTTCAAATACAGATGAGGATCAATGAAGAAGAAAGTTGCTGTTTTCCACAGTGCAGCAGCAATTTAAACAGTAGTAGTTTAGATATTAGTTTATTTTACAGCTACTTTTCTTTATGATCATTACATTTATGCTGTATTCCTTAAAGTCAATCTGACACTGAGTCACTACACTAAGAAAATGCCCTTATTCCTAATGCCAACCAGTGGAATAATTACCTTAAGAAGAGTTTGAGAATTTGAGATCCAACATCCTGTTGTCTACCAGCTATCTATGGAAAGCCCACATATACAGCCTTATCCTGCAAATCTTTATCAACTACTTCTAATATTCAGAGGCATACCATCATCATGATGACTTACTACTGATAGCTATATCATCCACTGTTATGTTTAATCTTACATCTTTTCTGTTTGAGCTATTTTACAGCAGGAGTAAAATGAGATTACACTATACCACAACTTAACTTTGGGATAGAATGGATAAGAATATCAAAATATCCCAGCTTCTCTATAAACTTTCATTTGTCAAGAGAGATCTATTTCTGATGTGATTTCTGTAAGATACAGTAAACCCTTGATTTAATGGATTTGGATGCAACAAACAAAATCTGATCATATCCTTATTCTTTTATGCATGCATAAAATCCCCCTCACCATTTTACACTTCTTCACTATTTCACACATGGGTAAAATGCAGAAAATACATGTGGTTAAAATCCCATTCTCATTTTACACATACATAGAATCCCATTCCTCCCATCAGTCAATTTAATGTCTAATTATTACAGATTATGCCCTTATTAATTGAGATTAAAGAAAAAAGAAAAAAATGCTCAAGTGACTAAATTCCAAAACTATCTATAGACACAAATACCTGTAGGGAAGAATCTAATGTTCTTATTCATAATTCACAAACATGTATCAACCATAAGAATAATTCACAGCTCCAATAAATGGCTGCCTAGGAGAATAGAAAGGGTTTCAGTTCTGTGTAAGTCTGATAGTACCAGAAACACCACCGTTTTAGAGACATGAATGGCCTAAAGCTCTGATGTTTCAAATACAGCATAAAGTAGGACACATTATAATAGCAAGGAGATTCCATTCAAAGAGAGGCATGTCCCAAAGTGAAAGGACGCAAAGGCCTCTGAACACTAAATTCAAATCTTTGCATAATCTACCTCTACTTGAGGTTAGCAGTAATGGGTAGTCCTCAGTTAATGATGGCAACTGGGATTGGAATTTCTGACACTAAGCGATGCAATTGTAAACCACGACTGCATCTCTTACCAACGGCAACCCTGACAGTCCCCACTGCCGTCATTAAGTGAGGTTCATGGGTTGTTAAGTAAGGACACCCTTGCAAATTCCTGCCAGCTTTTAACAACCAAAGTCAGTGGAGAAGCTGGCAGGAAGTTGCAAGTCTGAGGCAGCTTGCAAGCAGGATGGTAGGCAGTTAAAGTGGCTGCTGCCGGGGGTGGGGGTGGCCAGTGTGAGAGCAGTGAGGCTTGGGGTGGCTGCTACCAGGTGCAGGAGGTCGTGCAAGGGGTTGGTGCAGCATGGCACAAGCATGGCTGGGCTTGGGGTGGCTGCTGCCAGATAGGGGAGACTTACCTGAGTGACTTGCAACCTTCCCTGCCAGCTTCCCCATTGAATTTGCTTGTGGGAAGCTGGCATGGAAGGCCGCAAATGGTGATCATGTGACCGTGGGACACTGCAACTCTCATAAGTATGAGCCATAGCCAAGTATCCAGATCATGTGACTGCAGGAGTGCTGGGACAGCTGGAACTTTGAGGACTGGTTGTAGGTACCACTCATTTAGTGCTGTTGTAACTTCAAACAGTTGCTGAACGAGTGGTCATTAATCAAGGACTACCTGTAATGGATTTAAAAAAAGAAGTACTGTACCATAACAGAATCCAGCTTTTGTTTGATTTTTTGCATCCTCATTGATGTTCTTGCAACATCTGCAAACTGGTCAGCAGAAGACATTATCAAATTTTTCTGTGCAGGAACACTGGCAGAAATGCTGAGAATTTGTGGGCTTCTGGAGGATTTGGTTAGCTGTGATCCCATCAATTCCTTTACTGCCTCAGTTCCCTGCTTGGCAACTGAAGAGGAAAAAGCCAAAACAAAATGTTTGAACAATATTAATCAATTCATAAAAGTGTGCTGAATCCCACATATCACTGGAATTTTATGATACAGTAAGGATATAAAGCAGAGAAATTTAAAATAGTCACCATCACTTAAATGTCAACAGATTGGGTATCTCTAACAGTCATTATGGAGGCAGATGAACAGCCTCAAAAGCTATTTATCTGTATTTTTTTGCTATGAGTTCAATTACCATCTCTTACGTAAAGCAAGAGAGAAAGGCCACTTCAAACATAACACTAAATCATAGTTTAATGCTCTATAAACAAGCCTGGAGCTCACATACTTTTCTAGTTTCTCTTTTTTAATATTTTATTTTCTTTATTTAAAACAAAAATAAATTTTCAAAAAAAATATCAAGTGAACAAAGAATTACTGATAAAAACAACTTCTGATTCTTGAACACTTTCCCAAAGCATGGTTACTGTTGGGGTATAAACTGTAGAAGGAAAGCTGTGCTAGTCTGTGGTGGCAAAAAATCAGACTCTGGTAGTACCTTTTCTGACTAAAAAATTTCATTAAAAGGCATATGCTTTTGTTAGTTGAAAAAGGTCCTACAAGATTCCTGATTTATTGGATATAAGTTAAACTACATGAAATTCCTGCTTTAGATATAACAGGGAACAGGGTTTCTAGCTTGGAAATATTTTTTTTTTCCATTTCTTTTCATGCCAAACGTAAGTAGCCCAGTAAGTCTCTTTGCATTCACACAGTGTGGAAACTTGAAATATAAAGAACTAGTGGATCTTCGCAGCAATATTTAATTGAATCCATTCAATAAACCTGCACCAATGTCATAAATTAAGCTGATTTAGACAAACTAGGCAAGAAGGCTGTTCAGAAGCATTATTGTTTCAAAAAAACTGGAAAGCTTCCATCTGAAGGTATAATGTGGCTGAATCAGTGAAAGAATCCAACAGCAAAAATGTATGTCAACCAACCAACCAACCAACCAACCAAGTTCATACTGGTGCATTTCACCATGACTCCCAGCTGTATATTAAAAGTATATATGTTGAAGTCAGAAACAGAGCACTAAGAACCAACTTAGGGCAACAAGCAGCATCACCAAATTTTCTGAAATTATTTGATAATAAGCTGGAAAGTAGAAGAAATAGGAATACATTACAGGTGAAACTCGAAAAATTAGAATATCGCGCAAATGTTCTATTTA